ATGCATCAAACGAAAATTTGACCAATGCATCAAACGTAAACTTTCTGCCGTGGAATCGGGGACCAAACAACGTATTTTCGGCCGAGGTAGTAAGAAAAATAAATTTAAACTCTTAACAAGTACATCAAAAATAACTATTATCTACGAATTCTAGGTAAATTGTGAACATTGACAGATAACAGATACCAGCTTATTTTGTTTCATATTTTTTATAGCTAATTTTGATACCTGTCACCTATCATTTTTGACATCTGTCACCTGAATCATCATTTTAACATGTGTCACCTGAAAAACGGCCAGTTTTAGTCACATGAAAGTTTAAGAATTTTTTTCTCATCTAGGCGGAAGCGGAAGTAAGGTTAGCTGTCCATAAAGGAAGTTTAGATTTTGATGTCAATGGTCGTTCAAAATTCCGTGTCCGCCATTGTAAGTATTTAAGTTAGTTCTCATATAAAATATAACGCTCCTATTAAAACAATCTTAATAATCTTCAGGATTACATTTTAAAATTAAATGCATTCAAGTACCGAAATAAAGTTGGTCGGGATCAAAGAAAGTCGAATCGAGGCTGGTGTAGACGCATCGAACGACTTTCGACATTTCAAGGTTAAAAACAGTGTGTTTACATTTCTCGGTTAAAAATTAAATAGTTTTAAATAAAAATGCAGTGTAGTGCACTTCACTAGTGACACCACGTGACTTTGATATAAATATTTTAGGTAAATTTTCTTTCAATTTCAAGCTAATTTCGTCCTATTTTCTGAAAATAATGCAATACATGTATTTTTTGTGTCTAAAAGTCTTAATTTTGACCACAAAAAATACATATATGTATTTTTTGTGTTCAATATACAGGGTGTCCGGAAAAAGGGGGTCAATCCGTTAACCATATATTCCTTGTTAAAACAATAATTCTTTTAAAAAACCATTTTTCAATTTAGAGCTTCATGTTCGATATACAGGGCGACAAAGTTTAAAATTTAAAACTGATTTTTTTTAATAATTCGAGTAATTGATAAGATATTAAGTTCAAATTCGGTACACTTCTTCAACCCCCCCTATTTTTTAGTAGGTGCGCCAGTGACTTCCAAACTTTATTTTTTCAAGTAATTATTTATTGGTAATTATTTCCCTCATTATAATATGAACCAATCAAAAGCCCTAAATTTTCGAATAAATTTCGTTTAAAAAAGCGATTAAAGCACTAAAACTATTTAACAGCGATTAAATTTTAGCCTCCATATTGGATTTTTGTTTACGATTTTATGGTGTTATTTACAAGTTTTAACAAACATTTTTTAAAAAACAATAAAAAATAAGTTATCTAGTTTTCGAAGTATCAATTATTACTTATTACATACCTGAAATTAATGGAATTTTCTTTAAAAAATATTTATAAATTTTGACACATACGTCAGATTTTATGAATTGTCAAATAGTTTTCTTTAATTCGAGAAATAATCTAGACGTATATCACTTAACCTATAATCTGTCAAACTATGCTCAGTAAGTTTTTTATTTGATTTTTCTTTTCGGAAAATATTTTCATGCAAAATAATTAAAAATAAAACCCCTCGACCGCTACGCGGTCTCGTGATTTTATTAAATTATTTTGCATTCAACATTTTCCAACAAAAACCAAACAAAAAACTACTGAGCCTAGTTTAACCGATTAAATTCATAGTTCTCGTGATATAATATATGATTATTTTTTGTCTCTTGTAAAATTTTTATAAAATGATTTGTTTTAGAGATAATTTGTAAAGTATTGGTCCTTGATTGATACCTACGCGGCTTAAGGCAATCTCATAATTTTCAAATACTCTAATCAAGTGAGCCGCTGTGGCACAACCTTTGATACAATTAAGTAAAATTTTGCAATAGGTAACAATACCAAAAACTAGCCAAAAATAACCCAATGTTAGTGGCGCACAGATAAAAGTAATACTAAACCAGAAAAATTAAATTAATTTTATTGCCCTACTAAGAACTTACAATAATTACTAATTTTCTTTACATATTAGTAAAACCCCACCATTAAGTCAATAAGTCAATAATTTACTATTACTTTTTAAATAAATTTGAAGCATTATAACAATTATTTAAAACATTATTTTCTTAAAATATGTAACAAGTTATAACTTAGGTTACTTTATTAACAAAACACAAAACAAAAAAGTTGCCAGTCTAAAGAAATTGCTCGATATGACCTCCATTTTTTTTAATACACATGCGAGCCCTCTTTATTAAAGAAAATATTAGTCTTTAAAAAATATTTGGTTTCAACCTGAACTCCTCTCAAAATCGGAACCATATACACAAAATCTTTTATACATCCCCAGACTGAATAGTCCAAGGGAGTAAGGTCTGGGGAACGGGGTGGCCATTTAACAGGAACATTTTCACCCCGACTACTCCATTGATTAGGAAATATTTGATGTAAATAGTTCATTTCTAGCAAAATGCGAAGGGGCACTGTCTAGTTAAAACCAAATATTTTGTCTTACCAGTAGAGGCAAATCATCAAGTAAATCGGGCAGTGTATTTTGAAGAAATATAAAAAATGAATGACCAGTCAAATTTCCTGGTAAAATTCAAGACCTAAAAGAAAATTATCTACGACACCTGCCCACACATTGACTTTAAAATTTACTTGATGGTGCGTCTCTACTATGGCTTTAGAATTGTCTTCTGTTGTTATCCCGTTTCTTGTAAATGTAGCTTCCGTAAAGAAAATGTGTCTAATAAAAGGTGTATCTCGGTTATTCATTTCGCATAACCATCTACAAAAAAAGTCTTGCTTTAAAGTCTTGAGGCAAAAGAGCCTGCACTTTATGAATATGATATGGGTAGACCTGTTGACTTAGTTTTCCCTACGTTTTCGACCTGCCTAGCCAAAACCCTGGTACTAATGTTTGGTGTTTCTTCGACAGTCCTTAAAATATCCTCCTCTTGTTCAGGTCGAATTACACGAGGTCGGCCAGTCTGTCTTAGACGGTTAACCAAATTAGAAAAATATCTCCTTTTTGGATGAAATAGGTTCGGAAATTTCTCTGCGCTGCACCTAGCGGCTAAACTAGCATTGGAATTACATCTTCCTATTCGAGAAAGGAAAATTAACGTTTACCATTAACGGCAAATGTATATAAATCTTTTCCATGATTAAAATCATATTCGTCATTTCTGAAAAGGGTACTAAATGTTCTCGTCTACGACCCATTTTGGTTCTTTTTATTTGCAAGAAGACTTTTAATTAATAAAAGAAACTTATACATTTAAAAAAACACTGAAATAGCAACATTTAATTTGACAGTAAACAAATAGCGGCTTACTTGATTTAGAGTATTTGAAAATTATGAGATTGCCTTAAGCCGGCATCAATCAAGGACCAATACTTTACAAATTATCACTAAAACAAATCATTTTATCAAAATTTTATAAGAGACAAAAAATAATCACCAATAAATGATTACTTGAAAAAAATAAAGTTTGGAAGTCACTGTGAGTACTATACCCCCCTATTTTGATCATTTGGCAATTATTTTTTGTGTTTTTGTTCTCAAAAGATGTAACTATTTATGTTAAAGAAGAGTACCAAATTTGAACTTAATAACTTATCAATTTCTCGAATTATTAAAAAAAATCAGTTTTAAATTTCAAACTTTGTCGCCCTGTATATCGAACATGAAGCTCTAAATTGAAAAATGGTATTATAAAAGTCTTATTGTTTTAACTCAGGGATTGTCGGCGTTTTTTACAGAACTTAAATATAAAAATGGTGGATTTGAAGGTTATGTTTGTGCAAAATTTTTTTTTACTAATTTCCTAAAAATGTCCAAACTTAAATATAAAGGTAAAGTTATCATTAGTTAATTCTGCACCAACAAATGTACTTACCGACGATTTAGTTCTTGAATTTTATTTACAATTAAAAACACAATAATTCACCATGATCCCTTAGATAAAATACACACACTAACGTAACTATATAGTATAGCATTTAAGCGTAGAGTTTCTTAATCAATGATATAAAGAATATATTCGATTTCGATTGATTATAATCAATCGAAATCGAGTACTAAAAAAGTTTTTAATTTTTTCCTTGCAACGTAAAACGTGCGCGATTTAGCTGTGCAATTGACCAAAATTTTTCGAGTAAGACTTCTGCTTTCCTCTTGTTTGTGAAAAAAACTACCTATTTATTTAAAAATGATGTACAGTTCGTTTGCTCTAAATGTATTGTTGACAATTCTTAAATTCACGCAATGCTATCGAAGTCCACCAGATGGCGCGCGCGTTGCGAAAACCCGATACTTCTTTAGCGTATATTTACGACAGAGCACTATGCAAGTAATAAATAATACATGATAACAAACAAAACTTGTTTAGAACGAATTTTCTGAAAGATCTTACAAAAAATGCCCTCCCAAACAAAATCCTGTATCCGCGACTAACCTAAGCTAAGATTTCTGAATTATGATCATTACAGATTAAGACAGCTCTTTATTTATCTAAAGTCAGAAATAATTTTCCTTTTTGCATGTAACAACGCGTTAAATATTCTCCGTTTATGCTCAGTCTAACCCCCCCACCCAACCAACCTATCCCTTGTCTATGCCCGCTTGCCTGTTCTTTCCTATTTCCTCTAAAATGACCGCTGGGACGTGTCCGGACGCTTAGATGCCTTTTCTCTGAGCGCGTCACATATTACATGTACATACGTATTATTACATACGTATTTTTTAATTTCCGAAAATGTTATTCAAATGGACTTTGCTGCGTTTGATATTAAACCCCTAACATATTTCAGTATTTTCAGAAAATAGGTAAGACGAAATTACAGTTAAACTGACACATATATAACCTGCATTATTTGACCTTATTCCTTATTCAAATATCAAAGTGGGACTTTTTGACTTAAAACATAGTACCTACTTTATTTTTGTCATATTTTCGTACTCTACGTATATATTAATATATTGTATATATTATGTTTTTAGAAGGATATACAGATTACTCAGATCAAGAAGTAGTATTTCCTGACTCCTATGAAATGATTTTCGAACCGGTTCCAAGAATAGATGGTTCACCAAAATGTGCGGACGGTTCAACATTTTGTGAAACTTTTGATACTTACCCATACTATCACCTAAAAGACATCTTAAAGAAAAATGAAGCTTACAAGGATTTATTCGGTAAGGACGAAGAACCCAGCGAAATAACCAACCGATTGGGAGAGGACGAGGACATGTTTGTGTGTCGATCATTCGAGAGAACAATCTACCCCAAAGTCGGCAAAAACAAAAGCAACAAATGGAAATTTATCATAAATCAAGGCGATTCCGATGGATACATACAAGGCGTACGAGTAGAGACTTGTAGAAGGTGGGTCCAACACAATATTTTATAGGTCTTTTTATACCAAATCGCTCAATTGTTTTAATAAAAATAATAATAATAATAATAATAATAATAATAATAATAATAATAATAATAATAATAATAATAATAATAATAATAATAATAATAATAATAATAATAATAATAATAATAATAATAATAATAATAATAATAATAATGTTTATTAATTAAACATTTACTTAAAAGATACATAATACAGTAGATCAGCGGTTCTTAACCTTTTTCCGTCCACGGACCCCTTGGAAATCAAGCACAAGTCTAAGGATAAAAAAAAAACAGCAATACATGTCAGACCGTTTATTTCAGTACTGCAAATACAAAAAAATACGCTAATGTGAAGGTTGGTGCTGCTTCTTCGTAACTAAGTTGATGATATTTGGGCTGATGTTACTACTAAATTGCAATCTCAAATCGGATTCCACTTGTAATCTGTTTCTGTATTTGTTTATATATACAAGCGAAGATAATGCCTTTTCACAGAGGTATGTCGTTGAGAAAATCCGTAAATGTTTCAGTGCTTGATCTAATATTTCCTGAGACTTTTGGTAGCATTTATTTATTATTGTTAAATAGTCCATACTATGAGTATATGTACGGGAGTCCGCCGCAGTCTCACCTATGGATTCCATAGGTGAGACTGCGCCGCGGCGGACCCCCGTACTTATACTTGCGGGCCCCCAGGGGTCCGCGGACCACAGGTTAAGAAACACTGCAGTAGATAATTAAGATAATAAACATAAATAAAATCATTGAAGTACACGGTTTAAAATATCTGTGGTGTAAAGATTAATCTTAAAATGGTGTCAAAATCCAACACCAAGTGGTGTTAATATAAACACCATGAATTATGGTTGAAAATGTTATATACAGCAAACACCAAAACGGTGTTTATCTCAAAATATTTGAGAAGTGCACCTACATAGAAAAAAAGGAATAGTTCATCTAACTATATTAATTTAGTTGACCCATAAGTATTTATTTTTGTATTTTTTTAAATTTTTATCTACTGCGGGAAGATTAGTTTGACGGTACTAAACCAGATAGTTATTTTTTTTTTAATTGGTTAAATTGACCCAGAAAACTTTATTGAAACCAACCCGCTGTATGGTTCAGTTTACTAAATATGCTGTTTGTAAAATAAGAGTTACTTCAACCTAAAGCACTCTGTTAAAACGATTAAAACAATTTGCCGTGCATTCCCGGTTGCATAGTGTGTACCGATCGCGGCAAAGGCGGTGTGGGTAACGTGATGTTCTTAAATCTCGCCTCTGATGACCCACATGAAGAGTATATAAGCTCAGGTAGTCCTTTGCTTTGGTGTGACACTACAAGTTGTTCGATACTAAAGAGACCTCAAATAGGTGGAAACAGCTGTCAATACTTGAAGTATTTTAAGTTGGTGGAACGCACTAAAAACATTATCTCTAGCGAGTTGAAGGTTCAATTTTCTGGAATAATACCACTGGTAATATACTAGTAATGCGTCAAGGAACTTCCTGTTTCCTTTCTTTTTCCTTTTTTTCTGTGTAGTACGATTTAATTTGACCAAGAACACATAATATTTAACACTGACAAGGAGTTCAATTTACACCAGGTAAAATTTATTTTAATACTCTGTGAAAGTTAAATTTACACTGTTTTAGTATTTGAATTTACACCGGACCAACGAACCATATTTAACACCATTTTGGTTTGTATCGATATAGACCATGTATGGTGTTAATTTGGTGTTAAAATGGTCATGAAATTTTGAACAGTGTATACTTTGGTAAACCAACACCGTTCCCTGAGGTACACCAAATTTTATAAATATGGGTGAGCTGATATGGTTGTCTATGGCTGTAAACTGGACTTTGTCTTTAATATAACTATTAATTAGTTTCAGTGCGTTTCCCCTAATTCCAGTTAACTTCAGTTATAATAACAGTTTTTATGGCATACCTACTATATCAAATGCTTTTGCAAGGTCTACAAAAATGCCAAGTGTTGGTTTACTTTGATCCATTTCTTTGTACACATACAAAAGTTACAAAAGTTTTCTTTTAGTTCCTAAGAAGTACCAGAAGCCAACTAAATGGCTTGAGCGGGTTAGGGGTAGGAACGGACCGCGGGCTTAAAGTCCTCTCCGAAGGACTAATACAAAATAGGACAAACACAAATAAACAGCCCCGGTGGGATTCGAACCCACGACCTCTCGGCGGCTTGTAGTCAGCAGCACTAACCACTAGTCCACCGTCGGCGGCATAATCAGTTAATTTGGAAATTGCGTGTTTATGTCGGTTTTTTATTTTTTTTTTCATATATTTTTGCAATATTAACAATTAAAGAAACAGGTCTATAATTTCTGATTTCTAGTTTATCTCCACTTTTATGGTTTAATTAACCCTATTTTTAGTACGTTGGGGAAATTTCCTGTTTTTAAGGTTTTATTTATTAAATAGGTAAGGGGAACAGCAATTTCTTCAGTTAAGTGTTTAGGATTTAATATTGTCATAACCTGAAGCTTTATTATTTTTTAAGGAATTGATGGATTTAATTACCTCAATTTCACTTGTTGGAAATAAAAACATTGACTTTGTATCGATATTTAAAGCTTCATTTAAGTTTTCAGGTACTTTTTTGAGTATTGCTTAGCAATTCCACCTTACTCGGGAATTTTTGTAGCGTCCGTTACAATAAAAAATTGTGAGTAAAACTACCGTAATTATGATGCTTATAAGCTTAAGCCTAATTATTACAAGCATAATAAACATGTTTTCAATAGTAACTATTTAATTACGGCAGATTTTACTCACAATTTTTTATTGTAACGGACGCTACAAAAATTCTCGAGTAACGTGGAATGGCTGTGCTCTCCCAAATCTCTGGAGTAATACTTACTATATAGTAATAATAATAATTTTGTGTGGTCGGCCATTTCAAGCGCGCGAAACGCACGAATTACAAAACTGTTTTTATAAAAAAAATTGTAGATTATTTATTATATAATATTTTGGCATCAAAATTGTCAAAAATATTCTTCTTTTATTAGGTTATACATTAAATTAAAAAAAACTCAAGAAATATTTTATGAAAGTAGATATAATTTTAATAATTGAAAGGTATGGACGGGACAAAAAAAAGATTTATCTTGTCCCGTCCATCCCTGTCAATTATTGAAATTATCTCTACTTTTATAAAATATTTCTTGCGATTTTTTTTATTTAATGTATACCCTAATAATAGAAGAATTTTTTTGACAATTTTGATGCAAAAATAATATATAATAAATTAGCCATAATTTTTTTTATAAAAACAGTTTTGTGATTTGTCCCGTCCATCCGCTTGAAATGGCAGTGGTATTAATTTTGTTTATGGTAGTGTGTTTAGTTTTTTTTCACACTTGTTCTTAACCGTATTCCAAAGATTTTTTGAATAGTTGAAGTTAGTTAACAGTTGTCAAATATCATACAATCGTTAAAATAATGTGCCCTTCTTGTAAAATAATACTAAATGTGAAAATTATTTTCTCTACGACTACTTAAGAATAGTAACATTCTAGTGTAATTTTTGATCATAGAAAGGATGTTTTTCTGCAATACTGTGCGAGAATATTCCTACTCTTGTTTAAGAATGGTCACAAATAACGACATCTCCTGGCTGTTTACTAAACGTAAAAAATTTAAAAATATTTAAATATTACTGTATTATTTATTAATTAAAAAATAATAGCAGTTGTATAATTAAGGTTTAGGCACAAAAAATTAGTTATATTTATTGTTTTTCAAATATACAAATCAAAATTATAATAAATTTGATATTAAAATGATAAACCAGTTACCTACTATAACGGCTTTGAAGTTTTGACAGATTCAAAAAGTTTAAAAAAGACCTTTAAAATGTAGAAAAAGAATAGATGTTGACATAGATTACTTGTAAAATTAGTTTTGTATTTGTTACAATGTTATTTTTTTAGGTATTAGTTAGTGTAAATAACTATTTTTAATTATAATAAAGATTTAGGCATACCATTTGTTTAAATTTATTATAATTTACATTATAAAATTGTGATGGCACAAAATGGTTTGACAATACAAAAAACTTAAATGTCAAAAACTGCTTGGTTTCTTTTCTCTGTTTAAAATTATATAAGCGCTACTATTCTTACGTAGTCGTAGAGAAAATAATGTCTGAAACACGTTTGGAATAGCATATTCCACTCTCGTAAAACCGTCACACTCGCCTTCGGCTCGTGTGTCAAATTTTTCCTCGAGCGGAATATGCTGTATTCCAAACTTGTTACAGAATGTACTATTATTATCTTAAAATCAAAATACAGTATTAAATAGTTTATTAACGCCAATATTTAAAAAGTTTATATTTAATTGTACTGACCTTTTGATTTTTCCTGCAGTAAACTAAATTTAACTGATTTGGGGTAAAATTTCCACCACTGGCGGCTGGTGGATTTTATGTATACCAATATCTCAGTTATTAGACATGGGACCCACACCAAATTTATAATAGTTTATAATGACATTAAATAAACAAGTTCGGTGCAAACAGAATTTAAGTTTGCGAAAAAAAGTTAGTTTTTCCTGTCGCCTCACCCGTCTCCAGGCCCCCTTATTTGAGATAATTCAAATTAAAGTGGTGCAATTTATTTTCTACTATAATTTATCGACAAATTTAAAATTTTATTTAAAAAATCCAAATATTACAGATTTTATTCGATTTTAAATTTTTATTATTTATTTTATTAAAATAAAAAAAATATTTAAAATGGTATAAAACCTGTAATATTTGGATTTTTTAAATAAAATTTTAAATTTGTCAATAAATTATAGTAGAAAATAAATTGCACCACTTTAATTTAAATTATCTTAAATAGGGGGGCCTGGAGGCGGGTGGTGCGACAGGAAAAACTAACTTTTTTTCGAAAACTTTAATTTAAATTCTGTTTTCGCCGAACTTGTCTATTTAAT